CACCAAACTTTTTGCCACAAACTAATGGAGAAAATCAACGTCCCCAAAGTTTTTTAACTTGTTTCGGGTGTAGGTATGTTATTTATAAATTTGTCCTTTTTTCCTGCGCTTCTCAAATGCACATTTGCACTTTTCACTACCTAATATGTATGCATGTATCTATGGGTCACTTCCACTGCGTCGCAGTCGCCCGAACTTTGTGAGGATGTTATGCAGATTTTATACACTTTACAATCGCTGCACTCGCGTTTGATAAACGGCAAATTGTTGGCCGGCCAGTGCTGAATCCATTGCTTTAGGACTTGTTATCCTTTTTACAATTCTTGATTACGTCAAACACGACTATTCGTTTCGGTCAAAACAAAACAACAAAAACATTTCGACGTTGACAACTTTGCGAACAGCTGACAGCTGTAAAATGCGGCGGAAGCCGACAGTGTTGCCCTTTTCGGGAAATTAAGACCCCAAATATCGTTGCCATTTTAGCCGTTTCCGGCCAGATTTTGCCGGTTGCGATAGCCAACAGCCAGAGAAATTTCGGTTTAGCCGAAAGCCGGAAGCCGATTAGCCCATTTTGCTATTTGCCTTGTTTTCTTAAAATTCAAATATATACATACATATGTTTCCATTTTTGGGTACTCTTCAGTACGTTGCCGCTTATTTCGAGGTATTGCGTCCAAAGGGGTGACCCGATCCAAAAAAAATTTGCACACACTTCTATGTAGTCAAGGGTCTACACATTATTTTAACACCCACTTTTGTAATTTTTGATCACTAATTTATTTACAAATTAGGTTTGAAATATGCCCTTTTTGTAAAATTCGGAAATTTGCGTACATTTATCACTAATTTTTTCCTTAAAGCAGCCACTTCACCAATATATTTTTGTATTCCCCTTCACTTTAGACTTTACACGATTAGTTATAACTTTCTTTACGACTTTAATATTAACCAATTAATCATAATTCATTAAATAAAAACACTTTCAAAATCACGCGTCTGACTTTGGTTGGATATGCATATTAAACGGCGGAGTTCAGCTTTCAAACTCCAAAATATGCAAAAGAATGAGAGACAAAAGAAGATAGTATATAACCCAGTGAGCATTAAAAATATACAAACGTGTTCTCTGCAAAAGGTGTTCAGCTCCTTTTCTTCGCAAAAAAGAAAGGAGAATTCCAGGGAATGAAACCGAAACCCGAACCGAAACCGTAACCGTTTAAAACCGTTTCGTTTTTCAAAACCGAAACCGAAACCGTAACCGTTATCTTGACCTGAAAAGGAACGATACCGAAACCATTTCAATCACAGGTTTCAATCGGTTTCCAGAAATTTACAAAAATAATAAATAAAAATTTCTTTGAAATAAATGATTTATTTAACCAAAATCAGCAACATTTTGCTAAAATTCTTGTTAAGTAGTAAATAAGTATGGCAAGGTAACTTTTCGCAAAAATCTGCTGATGACTTTGTTGTTGTGAATCGATAATCGATTAATTATATTTAAGTAGTTTCTTTCCCGTACGCAATGCGAGATCCCGCGTGTGCCCAAAATAGCCCAGAAATCATGCCTGTACTCAACAAAATGGGTAATAGAGAGCGAAAATTCGAGCGTATTCGATCGTAAGTGTATTCTTCTTCCTGCCCGAAACAGCCCGAAATTTTCACCGAGTAAAAATGGATAAAGTGTCAAAGTGCATATCAGCTGTATTGTGTTTACATGTTGCCTGCATTTAATTGGTGCTTTTAAGGAAAAGTGAATGGCCTGTTGATGTATTTTCAATCTATGTACTTAAAATCAAATTTGTGAAACCAAAATTCAATTTCCAAGTGTTTGCATTTAATACCATGTTCTGACCGACAACCAAAACATTTTTCCTTCATTTTCTTTTCATTTACAACCTTTAACTTTCATTCTTATTTTGCTTTGGCCAGGCAATTAACAATAAATCCGAAATGGCGTATTTATAAAATATGACTTCCACTTCGATAAATAATCGAAAAAAACTAGTGAAGACACCGATTGGAATGAGTGGAAAGTGAGTTTTCAAGTAGTTTTCAGCGAAAACTGATTTTCGTTTAACAGATTTTATATGGACGAAAACACAAGTTTTAGGTCGAAAACCAGTTTTAGCAACTAAAACATCTTTCCGATGTCGGTCAGAACATGGTATAAGTGACAAAAACAAGAACAACGTGAATCAGCTGTTTCTCGACTCGTGGTTTCTCGAAATGTGGGTTTTTGCGTTTCCGTACTTCTGAACTTTGTTCCATTTTTGAAAGAAAATGTTTCTCTTATTCTCTAATTACCAAATCCGGTCCGGATTGTTAGGGAAATAACCTAGTGTTGATATTATCAGTGAATTGTAATTTTCGATTTTCTTTCCTCAACGTTTAAGACATTGTGATTTAAATAATATCAACAAAATTTCTGTGAAAAACCGAAACCGGAACGAACCCGAAAATAACCCGAACCGAAATAAATTCTGAAGAACGAAACCAAAACCGAAACCGAAACACTTGGCAAAACCGAAACCCAAACCGGAACGTTATTTTGAATCGGTTTCATTCCTTGGAGAATTCTACTGCCTGAGGGCCGAAGGCCGCCTACGCAGCAAGGTGTTCTATGGAAAAGGCGTTCAGCCCCCCTTCTTTGGCAACACAGAAGGGAGAATTCTACTGCCTGAGGGTTATAATCCCTAAGTGCTGCCGAAGGCCGCCTACGCAGAAAGGTGTTCTCTGCAAAAGGTGTTCAGGCCCCCTTCTTTGGCAACACAGAAAGAGAATTCTACTTTGTGAGGGTTATAATGCCTAAGTGCGGCCGAAGGCCGCCTACGCAGAAAGGAATTCTACGCAAAAATACATTTGTTAAAAAGAACATTTTTTTTATAAAAACTTGTTTTTTTATTTCTAATTAACTTTTTTATTCTTTATTCAAAATCGCCCGATATCTAATTTGGCATAATTTCTTTTATTACAAAATCCCACGGTCTCTGTTAGTTGCGTCATATTTACGGTGACCATCCGTCCTTTATTTTAAAGGGCAGTCCTTTACAGGGGGTTATCCTTTATAATTTTTTTCAAAATAAGGGACGCCTTTTGTCCTTTATTTCTTAAACTGTCCTTTAAATCAGCTCTGCATTTTTCAGAGGTAAAATTTTAAACACAGAATATGAAAAATAAAAATATTCCTTATAAAATATAATGAAAACCTACGCCAGTTTGTTTCGCATCCCACTTAAGGGTTTCTACTTAATCGGTAATCTTTGTACAATTTATAAGCACAGAGAAAGTTGTGCCCAGGATCGTGTTGCACGCTGAGTTTCCACTTCCACTGAAAGATAACAATAAACCCCCTGCTGCACAGTGGTTAAAAACTGGCATTTAGTGTTCGTAATTCACTGGAGCCTTCATTTTTGTCACTTAATTTGATTATTTTGCCTGAGCCTGATTTGTGAATTTTTATTTAATTATCTTAAATTTTTTTATAGCAAAATGCAGAAAAAGGAGCAATTTTGAAGAAAATGTGTTCTCCTGTTCCAGTGAATAAATGTTACATAGCAAACACTAGTTGAAAACAATTGTATGGTTTTCCCAAAACGAAAAAATTACACAAAAATTTGAAATGTTATAAAAAATGTTCACCAAAATAAATGTTTTTTTTTTAGTTTTTAGTAAAAATTGGTTGAAAAATGAAGGCTGCGGTGATTTATGAACATTCAATTCCAATTTTGAATCACTGTGTGCTGGCTTCGTTGTGCAGTATGAATTATGGTAAACGCATTTTGGTGGCAAAGGATGGCGAAGGCCTTGAAAAGGATTTGGCTTAATTTTTCGCTACAGCAGGGGAACTTTTACAATTAAATAATATAATTAACTGGTAAATATTTGATTTAAATTACGATATGGGTAAGGTACTTTTCTCATACAAGTTGTATGTGCGTATTCCCAAATCATTTTGAAAAAGTCCTTTATTTTACGTTGGTTAATATGGTCACCGTAGTCATATTCCACTTCAAACTACTCAGTTTGCCTAAGAAAATTTCGTTTTTCCCCCTTTTTCAAACGGTTCCCTAGGGGTCTGTGGGTGGTCCCGCAGGGGGGGGGGGGGGGGTGCAAATTTTTGGAAAGGGGGGGCTGTTCCCTTTCGAATAGGGGGGTTTAGGGGGTAGCAAACCCCACCCCCTCCGCCCTCCACCCCCAAAAACGACCGGCAAATAACTAAAGATTTCCCCCATTTTTTACTAAGCGATCCAAAATCTGTTAGAAATAGCTATTAACCTTATCGCGGAGAAAATTTTCATGTCAGGCAGGGTTATATAAAATCGGGCCGAATTCGCTTATTTTTATTTTAAACGAATATATTTTTGTAAAGAAAGCCGTAGTGGGGATTTTCTTCATAAAATATTTGTTATGAATGTCTTAAATTTGAGTGTGAAGTTTTATTCGCAAACTTAGAAAAGAAGTAATTGTTTCACTGTTTGTTTAACATGTGTTTGTGTTTGGATATAGTGGCAACATACAGAATAAATATTATAGGTATTGTCTTCCCAGATAGCGCATATTTAATTCTGCCTTAATTAAAAAACATCATTGTTGCCCCCGCTTAAAAGTTTAAGGTAAGGGAAAAATTATTATTTTCAAGAGCTATGTACACTAAGGTGGTCCTTAAAATCAAATGAGCTTTTTCTCAGTCTCACCTCTTCAAATGGTAATACCATGGTCACAGCTATCCCATACAAATTTTAGTCCCAATTGAAGACGGGTAAGGGGTGTCGCACAGAGGCCAAAGTTCAGATTCCTATATAGAGACTCAAAAAATTAAAAGGAATATTTTTGCCAACTCATACCCAAAATCGGTACTATCGTAGTCGAAGATATCATATATAAATTTTGGTCCCGATTGGAGCCGGTTAAGGCGTGTCGCAATGGTATCAAAAGCCAAATGCTCCTTGGAGACGAAAAAAATTAAAAACAATTTTTTCATTTAATACCCAAAATCGATCCTACTAAAGTCGAGGATATTACATAAAAATTTTGGTCCCGATTGGAGTCGGTTTAGACGCCTTCGTAGCGTAATCTGGATTTTGCCCCCTGTGCGACCCGACCCGCCTTAATCATCTCCCATCGGGACCAAAATTTATATGTGGTATCTTCGACAACAAATTTCATGAGTACCTGGTACTCACGCTGTTTTTTATTAATTTTCAAAATTCTACCTATTTTTTTAAGTCGTGGTAAGTTTTGCGGGACCATAAGTATATGTTAAAATAATTAGATACGTAGCGAAAAAATAATAATTTAAGAGTGTACAAATTTTTAATTAACTATTTTTAGCAAAATTATGTTCCGAAATAAGTGTTTAAATACTGTGGTTATAAAAAGAT